TAGAATTGGTCAATTTCAGCCTCTTCAGCATCGGTGGTTGGTGTATAAACTTGGTTTACTGTGACATTGAAAGGTCTGCCTTGGATTCGTATTGAAAGTATTCTATCATTTTTGAGATTGTATCCCAGTATAGCTTTTCTCACTCTTTTGTTGACTATCGGGGCTATTCCATTTCTTCTATGTGATTCTTGCTCACAATAGTAGATATGATAATTGTCTGAATTGAATTCGCCCATTCCCATCCATTTTAGTTCACAGATGCCCAGGATGTCAATGTTTATTCTTGCCATCTCCTGTTTGATCACATCAAGCTTACTAAGGTTCATAGATCTTACATTCCAGGTTCCTATGCAGTATTTTTCTTTGCGGCATCGGACTTTCCTTTCACTTCCAGGCGTGTCTGTAGCTGAGCGTCCTTTCAGCTTTGATCCAACCATTTCATTAGCTCTGGAGTACTGCACTTGTCCTCTGTTCTTCCTCAGCAGCATGTTGGATGCCTTCCGACCTGAGGGGCTCATCTTCAGTGTCATATCTTTTAGCCTTTTGTTTCTGTTCATGGGGTTTTCTTGGCAAAGATACTGGAGTGGCTTGCCAGTTCCTGCTCCAGGGGGATTGCATTTAGTCCAAACTCTCCACTATGACCTGTCCATCTTGGGTGGCCCTGCATGGCATAGCCTATAGCTTCCCTGAATTACTCAAGTCCCTTCGCCACAACAAGGCAGCAATCCATGAAAGGGCTATATATTTATACTGTGTTCCAAATGCAAGGGAACATAACTGATTATTTACACTCTTTTGTTTTATGTTCTTCGGGGCTGATTTTTATTCCCATTTTCCTTTCCAAACTAAGCCATTCTAAATCCAGATTTACATTTATGCTGAGGGTTTTCTAAATTGCTGCTGCAGAGGCAAGCTGCCCTAATTTCGATGAAAGTGCTTTAATGCCTTTTGTTTTGCAGCTTATACATTTAAATTTAGTTTAAATGAGAATAACGCTGCTATTATTGTTCTACCAAGGGCCATGAATATGCCATTACTGCCTGGCTGAAATCCTGTTGCTCTTATACACGTGTAGAAGGCACATGGCGTAACATTCACTCATTTCCAGCTGGCAGTTAAAGAGTCCCTGCTGGGAGTGTGCACCAAGTCAGTGAATGTGGGTGCCCTTGTGGACTGCAGCAGAGACTCTTTAACTGCTGGCTGGAAGTGAGTGAATGTTACACTATTAGCATTCCACCTGTGTAAAAAGCAACCAAATTTCAGCCAATGAATAG